GGGTGTGTGCGTGTCGAGTTTATACGGGAAATGTGTTATGTTTGCTGTTCTAAACACACCTAGCAAACAATCACCGAATTCAGACGTCATTTGCCCTTTTTTCAAGATGGGAATTCCTTCAAGACTCATGATATTTTGATCGGTCAATAACATTGTGGGCAATTACTTCTTTCACTTGAAGCGGAAGGGTAAATCAACTCAATATTATTCTTAAAGTAGATCATTGATATGAAGGAGATGGAAATATTATCCATATTGACGTTTAAGAATGATTATTTTAATAGTCTTTAAGATTATTATAGCCAGTATATGATCGTTTCATTATTAGGTCATGTCGAAAGGAGGCTCCCTGTGAAAATCTGAATAGAAATTTGACGATTCTACAAGTAACCTTACTTCCATCCGAACTATTTTTTAAACCTCAAATTAAAACATTGTGTTATGAAACTGATTGTATTTTTGTTTCCTTCTTTTTAGTTGATATCATGTAAACGATATGGGTTTCATCGACCCTGGATTTGTTCAGACAAAGAGGGATAGGGAGAGAGACAGAAAGAGAGAGAGAGAGAGACACACACACACACACACACATACACACACACACACAAAAAAAGTGACTTTGCCTGGAAACCACACAAATCAATGTTCGATCCCCATTAGTCATACGGACTGGCAGGCACTATTTAATTCATGTCACAGTCTGATAGGTAAATAAGATATTTCATACGGCTAGGCTTGTAACAAGGTTAACAGAAGAAAGAAAAAACACATTTGAAAGGAAACGTACCTTGATTGAAATCATTTGTAATGATGTTCACGCTGGTTGATTTTAGACAAACACATATTTTGTTATTGTAATCTATGATCGTAACCTGATGAGCGTGGGTGCTTACAAGCTCAAAAACATGTTTGTCGAATAAATTCTTTCTGGTAAAGATACAATGGCACACTATTTGAGGAGTAAGCATGTCCAAATTTGGATATTAATTCGTTCCGCTTTGACACCAACATTCTTTGCTATACAAATATACGAGAAAACTCAGACAGACATAAAACTGAAGTGAAAAATGGAAACAAACATTATGGATTTTGCTAATAGGACCCTTTACCTGATAATAAAGTCCATGATCCTTAACAAGATTTCAGATGTTTATGAAACATAATGCAATTCATGAAATAGGTGAAAACCCTACAACTACATACATGTATGCATTAATACATGGTATGCTATACTTGAACTAAGAGGGAATGTAACCGTTAACTAAGCTGATGTTAAATAAACTGAGAAAACCTGCATTTTACACAACAATTGTTTGGCGGCGTCCTACATTTAGTAAAAGTAAACCAGAACTAGAGAAATATAAATACAGGGCGAGTCAGAAAAAATGTCCCACTTTTTAAAAGTTTTATTGTTTGAAGTTTGACTATCTAATCAGGGGCGTCATGATATGTCTTGATAGAGTTATCCTCCCAGGACATTTAGATACCATTTTCATTTGCATCCCTTCACGCATGACTGAACATCAGACAATCTTTACAAGACTGCCATATTTCACTTGCGCCAACTTACTGGGTGAGGAATATAACAGTGCATTGAACAAAGACAGTCATACAGACAGACACGCAGACACACACACACACACTCATACACACAAACACACACGCACACACGCACATACACACACAAATACACATGCACAAACACAGACAACACACACGGTTACAATTGTCTCATAATTTTCCCCTTTTTTTTTTATTAAGCATTGCTTTTTATCAAGATCCCTGAATGTTTAAGTGGCATTTCCCTGACAATCTTTCCCTTTAATACACATTCACTACCACCATCATATCATCATCTTAGTCTTAATCATCATCATCATCATCATCATCATCATGAAGTGCACATGAATCCTCTCGACTTCTTCTTGTGGGGGCACTTGAAGTCAAGGATCTTCAGCAGCCCACATGTGAACATCGAGGAGCTTCGGAGGAGAATCGTGGACGAGACAGACGTGGTATGCCAAGATGGGGACATGATCCGGCGAGCTTTTCAAGGAATGCCTCACCGTGCACAACTGTGCATCAGGAGGAATGGCGGCCATGTCGAGGATTGAGTACGGAGGATAGAGAACTTTGGGGAAACAGATTCATTGTTGTACCACAATAAAATAGCTCAACAAATACAAAAATTGTTTGTATTTTTGTTCACCGACGTTTGCGGTATTTGTGTGCGAGTGTGTGCCAGTGTGCGTGTGCGTGGGTGTGAAAGTGCGCGTGTTTGAGTTTGGGTGCGTGTGTGTGGGTGCGTGTGTGTGTGCGTGTGTGTCTGTCTGTCTGACTGTCTTTGTTCAATGCACTGTTTTATTTCTCACCCAGTAAGTTGGCGCAAGTGAAATCTGGCAGTCTCGTAGAGATTGTCTGATGTGCAGTCATGCATGACCTTAATGCCAATATTAATCAAGATGAATGTGACTAGATCAGACTGGGGTAAAGTGATCCATCATTACTCTCTATTTAATGCATACATTACAGACGCAACCCTTCAACGTAAGACCTGTCAATACAGCAAATCACTAATAATTAACACAATTTTGATCTATGAATATCTGCTGAACTCCAAATATTAAATGGAAGAACATTCGGTGATACAATGGAAAGCAGTGGCGAATCCAGGTTTGGGAAACGGGGGGCCCGCTCCCCCACCCCTGGAATAAAAAAATAAAAAAAATAGAAAAGAAGTAAAAAAAAAATTAAAAAAAAACTACGATTAATCTCTCGCCTTCTCTCTCTCTCTCTCTCTCTTTCTCTCGCTCTCTTTTCCATTCAGGTTTGCATAAAAGAGGTGTCTCAATCGATGATTACTGTATATGTACCACCTTACTACTTAATCAAGTTATAGCTTTCTAAGTTTGAGAATTCTGTCCTCTACTATCCGATCTTTGCCATATAACGCTTACCCTTCAATCATTTGTATTCGCAATTGATGACAAGGAATTACATGACATACAGACATTTAAATGGACTCGAACAATTGAAATAAATTCATAACAACATTAAAGAAACACAGTTTTTAAACTTATCAGATTAGATTTTTCTAAAATTTGAAAAATTATTTAAAAAGAAAAGAAAAACGAAACAGTAGACACCTTTACTCAAAGCGTTAGTCAAAATACGAGAGTTAAGGTCAAGAAAAAATACAAACCATAGTCTAATTCGATATGTAGATCCAAACTAAGACTGATAAAGAAACTATGTAGAGATCTGAGAAAAACACCGTGGAATTACGTAATTCGGTTAAAAGTTGTATGTTAACAAAAACACCTTCGGGGAATAACACGTACAAATCACAGAGCTTACAAGAACCACATTTTTGATAAATTACTCTTGCTAGATAACAGAGACTCTTCCTCTTTTGGAGACTTGTTGACAGAATGAAAGAAAAAGACACAGATTATACGTCAGTAAATATAACAGCGACAGAATAGGACGATCACTTCATAAAGCTAATGAACAAAGATTACAAACTTAACTTTGATACTGAAGAAAAAAATCTTAACACACAACCTTTGTTACACAAAATCTTAATTCTACTAACACAATTTAGAAGCTTTAAATGCAATTAGTACTCTCAAAAGAAGGAAATCGGCTTGTATTCATAATAAGATGATTATATCCTCAGAGAATTTCCACGTTAAAACATATGTATATATATTTCCAGCTATTTAAAACAGGGGTATCTACCCAAACATTTGGAGGGATAATATCACTAAAACCAATATTCAAAAGAGAAGACAGTAAAAACCTCTCCAATTAAAGAGTGATATCCCTAACAAGCCCCCTCACAAAACTATTTTAAAAAATAATGTATGATATACATTCATTGAAGAATACAACATAACAACCACGAATCAGATAGGTTTAAGAAGCAATGACCATATTCAATCTCAAAACACTGGTAAATAACTATGAGGCGCCGTTTGTAAAACAATTATATAGACAAATTATATGTTATATAATCATTATTTAACAAATAATAACCATTATTTACATATAATGCAAGAAAATGTACATTTTTATTTGTATATAATTCTTAACACATTTTTATTATTTATAAATAATTACAATTCATACTTCATTATTTATAAATAATGACAAAGTACGTTTCATTATTTATAAATAATTACAATTCACACTTTCATTATTTATATATAATGAAAAGCGTATTTCCATTATTTATATATAATTGACATTATTCATAAATAATTACAATTCACACTTTCATTATTTATATATAATGAAAAGCGTATTTCCATTATATAATATATAATGAAAAGCACATTTCCATTATATAATATATAATGAAAAGCCATTTCCATTATATAATATATAATGAAAAGTGTATTTCCATTATATAATATATAATGAAAAGCACATTTCCATTATATAATATATAATGAAGAGCCATTTCCATTATATAATATATAATGAAAAGCGTATTTCCATTATATAATATATAATGAAAAGCACATTTCCATTATTTAATATATAATGAAAAGCGTATTTTCATTATATAATATATAATGAAAAGCACATTTCAATTATATAATATATAATGAAAGGCGTATTTCCATTATATAATATATAATGAAGAGCACCTTTCCATTATATAATATATAATGAAAAACGCATTTCCATTATATAATATATAATGAAAAGCGCATTTCCATTATATATTAAATAATGATTGTGTATGCAAATGTCAATGGTTGGTAACGCCCATAATATGAATATTCATGAGCTTGACTGCCCATATTATCCTCTATTCCAGGCACCTTTCCATTTTGTGTTCTTTGTGCATTCTTATCAGAAATCCTACGTGCGGTAAATAAGTCTCTGTATCACTACTCTCCTTCTTATTTGTATGCAGATTTAGGTATAATGATTGATAACTGTAATCATCCTCATTATTTTAATAAGAAATTATTCTATCTGTGATGGAAGTTTTTATGTACGATTGCCTGAGCTGAAGACAAGACTTTCGCTGTATGCATATTTAAAATATGACGTCACCCACACAGAGTGAGAGTTTTAGTTTTTCTTTGAAAGTTTGATGGTGAGTACAGCTGTAATTACGTTAAAATCTCGTAAATTGAATCATATTTATAAACATATCTGCTGTAGGTATGAATCTGCTGATTTGTCTGTACATTATGAAGTGGTTTAAAATGGTTATATCTGATGAATTTAGGAGTAATCTACACTCGAAATTTTGATTCCTTATTTATCGTCGAGAGAAATATTTCAGCTCGATTGCCAGTCACTCCTTAATCCTTGGCCCAAACTTTCGGGCGAGACCCTCTCTGAAAATTAGATACGCGAGTAGACCTATAGCCATTCTATAGGCAGTAGGCAGCTGGCAGATCACTTCACTAGAGCTAGCTGCATCAATGATCCAAGCTTTTTGTTACTTTTAGGTCCAACTGTTGAATAACTACTTTCATAGTTGGGTCAGAAGAAAGTTAAGAGCTAACAGTAAAAAGCATGGTCACAGTTGACATGAGTTGTGAACAAGCGCCAAAATTTGGACCAGATACCGAGATAGACGAGTACGAGAGTAGAAAATTTGAGGCCTAGGCCTACAGACCAGTAAATAATTGGACTACCTGTGAACAGGCGCGGATCCAGGATTTCTTAGGGGGGGGGGGCCCAAATTTGAAATTATGCAAGCCAAATATTGGTACGTGATAGTGACACCGGCAGTGGCGGAATGAGCAAAAACAGGGGGGGGGTTCAAAAAAATCTGCACCACCCCACTCTTACATGCAGGCCCCACTAAACGTTTCTCAAAGTAGGAGGGGGGGGGAGGTATTTACGATCAGGTAGAGCGTTGTGAAATTGGCGTGGTGTCTAAGGGCGAAGAACCTGCGGGGGTCAAGTGGTGGAACCCCCCAGAAGCTCAGGGGTATAGGCATTTAATTACGGTCAGATGAGCATATAAAGGCAAGGGCCTTTGCCCCCCCCCCCCCGAACTACAACTTGTTGGCAGGAAAATTGCAACTGATATCCCCCTTCTTTTCTTCTTCCTCTTTTTTCCTTCCCTTTATTCCCTCTTTACTTTTTTTCTTTCCCTTTCCTTCCTTTTCTTTTATTTTTTGATGGGGGGGAGGGGGAGAGGTTACAGCTGGGAGGCAAGGCCCTTTCGGCCCCCGATCTCCTTCTTTTCCCCCTTTTCTTTTCTTCTTCCTCATCTTTCTTTCCCTTTCTCTCCTTTTTCCCTTCTTTTCCTTCTTTCTCTCTCTCTCTTTTTTTTTAAATATTTTTTTTTAAAAGCCCCCCTGGGATCCGTGCCTGCCTGTGAATGTGATACTCGTAGTCGTACAGAGTCTTGTAGCTATCTAACATATTAAAACACGATCCCCCCCCCCCCCAAATTATTCAGTCTAGACTACATCGTATAGTATGCAGGGGTACGTATAGTGGTGCCTGTGTGTTGCTTAAACTCTTTGTTGGCTTAGTCTAATTTGCCTCTACTCTAGGCTCTATCTTTGAATTCTTGTTTGCTGTAAACACGATCAAGTTTTCTCTGTCATATATAGATCTAGGTCCATATCTATTTTGCGTTTTTTCAAATTGATAGAATGAACAGTTACGAGACATGGATCTAGATCATCTAGAGACTGTAGATCAACTAGATCTGGATTAAGAAATTGAATATAAATTTCAATGTTAGGGTTAAGGAGGGTTTTTTTGGTAAAGAGAAAATCCCAATTAAAATAGAACAGTTTATTCTGCAAATGATCATCAATGTTTAAATGATCATGCTCATTTCCTTTTATTCTAAGAATTAAATCCCCCCCCCCTCTCTTTTACAGGAAAATGTACAGCGAGACTTGTCGCAGTTAATGTAGTACCAAATGCTTGCTTTCTTGGAGTATGTGCTTGAAACAAGAATGTCCTGGAGAAAACAGACCACTACAAGATAAGGTAAACATATTTACTTTTGATCTAACTTGATCTGTTTAGTTTTTTCAGGTAAAACAAAATTTGAAATGAGTGAGGTCAAGGCCAAGCTGGAGGGGATGCGAAGGGCTGGTTTGAGAAGTATGTATTCATGGGATGGCTATGTATGATTCCACATGAGAAAATTTGAGGCCTAGGCCCATGCCATGGGTGTTGATCCCGGGGGGATGGGGGGATATATCCCCCCAATATTTCAGGTGGGGGGGATGGCCTGTACAATCATCCCCCCCCCCCAATAATTCACCATCCAAAAAAAATATTTAAAAAATTAATTAATGATGAGAGCCCGATGAGAGTAGTTAACGGTTATTACTCGCAAGATGACCATCAATATACACATTTTGCTATCTCATTTTCATAATACATACCTAACATAAATAGAAAAGGAAGTAAATGAGACAACCGTATATGAGACAAGAATAAATTGAATTCTGGTTAACCCAGATTTTCCCCATGTGTTACCCATATCGGCATATTCATATTCTACCCAACAACTACAACACTTGTATTTCTCGAAGTTTCTATTTCCTATAATATCAGAGGTTTAAAATTTTCAGTGAAACTAGATTCAAACACAGATTAAGAGTCAACAACGATACGACGAATCGTCTTCCCTTCTCTATATTTCGATAAAACGCCGAAAAGCGCGGTAGGGGAAAACTGAATTCAGATAAGGATTAAGAGTCGAGAAAGGCACAACGAATCGTCTGCTTTCTCTAATAATATAAGGAAACGTCAAAGCTTTCGCGCGGGAGGAGAGAAACTGATTTCAGACAAGTTAGGTTTAAGAGTCGCGAACGGTACAACGAATCGTCTTCTTTCTATAATAGTTAAATCAATCGTCTAAACTTTTTGCGCTTCTCGCGGAAAGGGGGAAACTGAATTCAGACAAGGATTATGAGTCGAAAAACGGTACAACGAATCGTCTGCTTTCTCTAATAATTAAATGAAACGCAAGACTTCCGCGCGGGAGGGGGAGAACTGAATTCAGACAAGGATTAACAGTCGAGAACGGTACAGCAAATTGTCTTCTTTTTATAATAATTTACTGAAATGTCAAAGCTTTCGCGCTTTGCGCGGGAGGGGGGAAACTTCATTCAGACAAGGATTAACAGTCGAGAACGGTACAGCAAATCGTCTTCTTTTCTTAATAATTTAAGGAAACGTACGTCTATGAGCTTCACCCACAACCCCCTAATGAGCGCACTTCGCGCGCTCTTTAAGTGATTCGCTTACTCACTACCGCCCCTCCCTAAAATAAGATCCTAGCTCCGCGCCTGCATTAAAATATATAGCTATGAGGCTGATTAAGTTGACGAAATAATTTCTATTATTATGTCGTCGAGGAAAATGACCATTTGAGCATATGCAAGTACTATAGAAAGTCCATAGGAAAAAAAAATAGCCTTCGGCCGCGGGTTTATAGGGTTAAATTTGTAGATATTGGGACATTTAATTTTGTCGCTAATTGGTGGCTAGTTTTGTCGGTAATCGTTGGCCTCTACACCCCCCCCCCCCCCACCAACTGAAAAAAGTCTAGCGACGCCCCTGGGTAGGCCTACACTGCAGGCAAGAGTCAGGACTAACATTTAGCATGTTATTAATTTTATTACCACTCTTATATTCTCTGAAATGTTATCTTTATTGAGGGTGAATTGAAAAGGTTAATAACTTGGAAGGGAGGGGTTGCAACCTCCCACACGCTTCTACCTCTTGGGTGCTTTGATCCATTGCCGAAAATATTTTGGCACCTATCATCCCCCCAATAACGGATACAAATCGACACCCCTGCCTAGGCCTACAATGTACATGTAAGACATTTTTTATGTTACAACAGAGATACATGTATGATGTAGGTATCAATGTTTTACTTTCATTCTCTTCTCTTTTCATTCAACAGACATACATGTACAGTATGGACTATGAAGTTCTACTTAGCCTCTTCAATGAACTGCTGGAGCTGCGACTGGGTATCAAAACCATGGTATCATAAACCTCATAACCAGTGGCGGAGATATGTTGTTAGCCAGGGGGGAGGGGTCAGTGCCCCCCCCCCCCACTTTTTCAAGTACCCCCTAAATGCCCCTTTTATGGCCTTTTCACATATGGCCCCTTTTCACTTTTGATAAGTGCCCCCTTCATCTCCGATATTCGCCCCTATTCAAATCTGAGAGATACTCATTTTACTTTGATAAGTGCCCCTCCTTTTCCTGATCAGTGCTCTTTTCATCTCTGATGAGTGTCCCATTTTGTCTCTAATAACTGTCACTTTTATTTGACACGTCCCCTTTTCCTTCCTAATAAATGCTCTTTTTTCTGATCATAATTGCCCCTTAACCTTCTCATAATTACCCCTTTTCATCTCTGATAAGTGCCTTGTTTACTTTAACATGTGCCTCTTTTTCTTTTTAATAAGAGCCACTTCCCCATTCTCATAATAGCTCCCTTTCACCTCCAATAAATGCCCCTATTAAAATCTGATCTGCACCTCCCTTTTTGTCTCACCTACGAGCAAAAAGCGAGACATAGGCGCCGCTTTTCCGGTGACGGTGGCGGCGACGGCGTCAAAAACTTCAAAAACATCCAAAACTTAACCAAAGTTTAAGTTTTTAGTCAATTAATCTTGAACTATAGGGTTATCAAGTATCCCCAATCATGTGAGTAGAATGTCAGGTCACTAAGTTAAGGGCAAAGGTCATTTTAGGTCAAAAAACTTAGACTTTGTTGTGGCATCAACATCAAGATTTTGAATTTTTAGCATATTTTCAAAATTGTTTGTTCCATGATATTCCATGAAACTTGTACCCAAGGGTTATCAAGTATCACAAATCATATGACACAAATTCCAGGTCACAAGGTCAAAGCTCATTTTAGGTCAAAAAACTTAGACTTTGTTGTGGCATCAACATCAAGATTTTGAATTTTTAGCATATTTTCAAAATTGTTTGTTCCATGATATTCCATGAAACTTGTACCCAAGGGTTATCAAGTATCACAAATCATATGACACAAATTCCAGGTCACAAGGTCAAAGCTCATTTTAGGTCAGTAGACTTGTATTATGTTTTCACAACTTAATTAATATGAGAATTAATAAATCAATTTTTAAAATTAATTTGTTCATATTTCATTCAAGTTATCGATCGTGGTACAATTAATAGTAAATAATTCTTCTGATGATTCTTAGTCAATATTTACTTCAAAGTGATGATTATATTCAGAGGATTTCATTTTGGGGGGCCTGCTAATGGGCCACCCTGCCTATAAATAATGTTCAGACCTCAATTTTTCATCATTTCGAATTGCATAATGCAGGCGAGACCGCCGAGAGCGTTTCCCTTGTTTTAAAAGTATTGCAATTTTCCTTTTTTTTAAGTGCCCCTTTTCATATCTATTATCTGATCAGTGCCCCTTTTCAGGCGCAATAAGACTAGTACCTCTTTTCACCTTTTGATAAATTCCCTTTTAACAATGATACGTGCCTCTTTTCTTTTCCAATACCAAAGGGACCTATCCCCTTTTCATAAATGCCCCTATCAAAATCTATTCCATTGAAAAATGCCATTTCCCATTCTCATAAGTGCCTTTTTTCATTCCTGGTGAGTGCATCTTTCTGTAGGTCTAAGAAGTGCCCCATTTTCACCTCCGATAATTACCCTTTTTACATGACCCGTGCTCCTTTTCCTCTTATCCCTTTAGTGTCCGCTTTTCCTCTCATCATTAAACGCACCCCTAATTTCAAGCGTAACTTCCCCCAAAGCTCGCTCGCATTTATAGATGACATAATAACGTTACTTATTAAAGGTTTTTCCAGTCTTCCATTGTGAGAATGTGCTTATAATCCCATCAGGATTGGGTTTTTCCCTCTTAATAAGATGCAATTTTTTGTACTGCGACCTCACAAAACTTAAAATTTTCCTCGCTCGCAAATCAATTTTCAGACCATCACACCAAACTGATACTTAAGCAATATCTTGTATGGTTTATAAAGAGAAACAAATGTTGAAATCGTCCCTGATAATGTAATCACAATGTAGGGGTATATACCATTGTCTAAAAAAATTGATATTTTCGCTTTGAGATTCCCTTTGTAGGTGCCCTTTTTTTCTCCAGAAAGTGCCTATTTTGTTGGTGCCCCCCCCCCCCCACTTTGGAAGACGCTCCGCCACTCCTGGGGGACACATAAGTCAATTGCGCGCACCGGGGGCGGGGGGGGGATGAGGGGTAATGTGCCCCTCAAAGCTGAAATTTTTGTAACTGGATTTGGTCAAACTCCCAATAGATAAATATCATTCACAATTCTCTTCAAGCAGTACGTGTAACTTCACCTTGCAAGCAGTATGTTTAATTTTTTAATCACCTTGTATATTAGGCCCTGTATTTCAGCTCAAATTGTTTAGTGATTGTGGACAGGCGAAGCAGGAAAATAGAAAATTTGGCCTTCATACACACAACCACACCAGTGACACTATGAAACGGAAACACTACTACAATGATTACCGGTACTGAAACATAGTTTCAAACCAGGAACCAAGGTATAATACAATGATGCAATTTTACCCATGTTGTAGTAGTACATGGTAGTAGTATGGATATCCAGCCTCTTCTTTTATGCACATCCTTTCCACTGCTATCGCAAGTTTTAAAAAAAGTGCCCAATGTCTGCATAACTAAGCAAGGTAGGATTTCATTAAAAACATGATGTAAAACATTAAGTATATCACACCAAAGCATCTCAATCTGACAGCACGATGTGGAGAAAAGTTAATGGTGTAGATAAATACACAAGAAATATGTTCATCGGCAGTCTAAGTCAAGCAATCATTTATAAAACTGAGGCTTTGCCAAGGCATCCATTTTAAGTATGCGTCTATAGGGCAAATAAGATGTAGTCAAGTACTCAAGTTACCACCTGTCAGCCAAGATCAAACTTTTGGAATATAAGAGTTTTTGGGAGGGGTCATCTTTTATCAATTTCTGTTTATTGATAATAATTATAACATTTGGGAATGGGCCTATGAGTATGATTTATATATTGTATATAACGAGCAACTTTTAATAAAAGGTCTGATATACCTTGATGCGTGTGTGGACCACGGAGTAACCATCACACTAAAGGATGTTGTATACTATCGTACAGTATTATTGTTTCTCTGGAAAAAATTGCAATCATTGAGTCATAGGTAATTTTTTTTTTTTTTTAAAGAAATCAGCATGTTTTTATTATAAGGGTGCAGGTCATGATACAATACATTCACTGGAGAAAAAAAATAGTGCTCAGATTTAGCATAAGTATGCTTTGTTGAATTTTTAAAGAAAAAAATAATCTACAAATGGAAGTAGCAGATGAGGTAATTTGTGTTTAATATTTGACCATCAATGTTATAATCTGTAAACATATTAGTTTGTTGTAAGAAAATGAATAAATTAAACATGTTTATCATCTTATATATACAGTATTCCCTTCATATATTTTCTTTTTAGTGTGCATATATGGTTGGATCAATGGAATCATATGTGGAAAAAATCTGGAAACGGAACGTGAGAGTTCAGAGAGAGAGAGAGAGAGAGAGAGCAAAAGAGAAAGGAAAGGAAATGAGAGAACTGTTTAATGGTGAGAGATGTTGATGTTGGTGTGAAAATGAGAAATTTATAATGCAGTGAGATAGCGAGACAGAGAGAAAAAAAAGAAAATCCATCTTATAAATGCGTTAATCGCCTCACCGCTATGCGGCTCGTGGGCGATAATCTGCATCGTCATAGGGTCAACCCCCTCCCCTCAGCAAAAAGCTCGATCTGCCCTCTGATAGGCCCTGACAATGAAATCTGGAGAACATACAGATTCACAAGGGCTGGACTACTCGGTGTCGTGGATCAAATAATATTAATGGAAGTTATTATAAAAGTATGTTTTTCTCTCTTGTTATGATAATTGGAATAAAAAAACTGTTAATTAGATTATATTAGTTTTAGCTTCAACTGCTTGATATTAATATGCATGTGGGCACAAATAGCAGCAACTGCGGTAAGTGATATCTACGGTACTCCTTGAGCTGCGGTAAATGATCTTATTGTATATGCCACCTACTGGTTTTCCATAGACCTGTGCACAAATGCTGTTTTAAAAAATTCAATAGGATGGTGTACAAATTGAATATATTATGCCATTCTTTCCACTTAACTTCATGTTATTCAATATCCATGTCATTCAAACAATACAGGCAAACATTCGCTGATGTCATTAAGTTTACATCAATCTATCTTGCTTTTCTCCTTATAAACAAGCCATCTTCATTGGAATTCACATCCTGAAAATATCTGACCTATACCCCTGAGCTTCTGGGGGTTCCACCCCTTGACCCCCGCAGGTTCTTCGCGCTTAGACACCACGCCAATTTTACAATGCTCTACCTGATCGTAAATACCTCCCCCCCCCCCCCACCTACTTTGAGAAACGTTTAGTGGGGCCTGCATGTAAGAGTGGGGTGGTGCAGATTTTTTTTTAACCCCCCCCCCCTGTTTTTGCTCATTCCGCCACTGCCGGTGTCACTATCACGTACCAATATTTGGCTTGCATAATTTCAAATTTGGGCCCCACCCCCCCCCCTAAGAAATCCTGGATCCGCGCCTGTTCACAGGTAGTCCAATTATTTACTGGTCTGTAGGCCTAGGCCTCAAATTTTCTACTCTCGTACTCGTCTAACTATCTCGGTATCTGGTCCAAATCTTGGCGCTTGTTCACTACTCATGTCAACTGTGACCATGCTTTTTACTGTTAGCTCTTAACTTTCTTCTGACCCAACTTTGAAAGTAGTTATTCAACAGTTGGACCTAAAAGTAACAAAAAGCTTGGATCATTGATGCAGCTTGCTCTAGTGAAGTGATCTGCCAGCTGCCTACTGCCTACAGAACCTATAGGTCTACTCGCGTATCTAATTTTCAGAGAGGGTCTCGCCCGAAAGTTTGGGCCAAGGATCAAAGAGTGACTGGCAATCGAGCTGAAATATTTCTCACGACGATAAATAAGGAATCAAAATTTCGAGTGTAGATTACTCCTAAATTCATCAGATATAACCATTTTAAACCACT